TTTGGTGCGTCTGTTTGTCTGTGTGTTTGTGTTTCCGCACATTTGTAGGCAACATAACTTCATAACTCCTTTATGGATTATGATGATATTTGTCATGCTGGTAAGTCTTAGGAAGACGAAGGTTAAGGTCAAATATGGGCCTCTCGGTGGGTGCACTTAGCAGAACTGCAGCAGAACTTTTGTATCTTTTGTCCTGAACATGCTATGGTCTTGACTTTTTGGTGACAGATAGCTTTTCCTGTCAGGAATGCGTGGTGTGGGTTTGGTCTCCCTAGCAGCTTGTTCTGGAACGGTTGCCGTATTTGCCCAGTCAAAAGTATGCACAAAAGTTTAAGACATATGCACAACAGGTAATCGCACACAATGTATTACTCCTATGACATTACCCTATGTAATTTTGCACTAATGTACAAATGTAACAGTTAAAACTTATTGTTGCCTCTTCATTATAACTGTATTTTCTACTGCAACCTGAACATTCTCCATTCCTCTGGCCTAGCTTTCTCTGCTATTCTGACTCACTCTGAACATTTTCCACTCCTCTGGCGTTTCTGGGCTCACTCTGAACAGTCTCTGTCACTCTGGCCATTCTAAGCACCTCTGGTTCACTCTTAAGTTGTGAAGAATCTGATTTCTACCCCTAATCACCGCGTGAATTATACGCGTGAACACACGCTCAATCCAAATGTTGTAACGGCGAGAGATAAATATTACGATTTTTTTCAAAGACTTTTTAATTAGCCCAAGATCAGTATAATGAATGAATGAAGACCTTTATTGCACATTTCTGCCACACTTGGCTAAGTACAGGTCACAACAAAACAATATGAATGAACACGGTTAACAGATACAAAATTAACTAACTATCGTTATATAATATAAATTCAACTTCTCCTCGCTTTTCTGTTATTGCGGAAATAAACGTACAGATCTGTTTTTCGATGGGTGGCTTGTCTAATCGCATAAGGAATGTGAATTTTTCTACACTACTTAAGTGCGTGAAATAGGGGAATAGGTGTTGTACAAACGTATACAGTTCATTTCTCTCTTTGCTATACAGTTCACATTCTGTTACAAAATGGCGTTCGTCTTCTATTTTGTTCAAGTTACAATATTCACATAATCTGTGTTCAAGGGGAGTGCGGGTATGTCTTCCGATTTCAATATGTAATCTGTGGCAGCTTATTCTAAGTCTTGTGACAGCATTTCTCACCCTCATATTTTCGTTACTTAGATATTTTTTCTTCATTATATGTTGTTTTGAACAGTCTATAAGATCTTAACTTATTTTTTGCAGCCCCCCTTTGTTGTCGTCTTGTATTTCTTTGAGAAAAGTTTGAAAGTATATATCTTTTAACCGTTGGCCAATAGAGTTGACAATTGGAAACGTGTTTGTACCATGTGGAATAGGTAAATGCCATAAGGAGGCAAACCCGCACTCTTCTAAAGATTTACGCACTCCTGATGCCCAACATTTGACACCACACTTGTCTAATTCTAATTGACATGAGAAAGCGTCCGCTTGAAAACTGTCTGCTGGCACGTTCAAGCAAAGTCTGAGAAAATGTTTAATGGCATTTAGGGAGGCCTCCACTTGCATGGGGTACCTCCCTAATTCCGCCCTTGCAGCGAGACTGCGAGACGACCTAGGTACACGTGATGTCTGTTTACACAATTTTATGTGAACTGATTCAATCGGAGATGAATTGGAATTTTTAGACGAATGCGAACCCCATGTTTCAGAGCCGTAGAGGATAACGGGTTTGACGCATGTGTCAAATAGCTTGTTTCTCACAGAAATCGGCGCTTCGGCTTTGTCTAGTGCTTGATTGATACCAAACAAAGCTTTTAGACCTTTCTTGTAGAGATGTTTGTGATTCGCTTTGAAGGTGCTGGCAGAATTAACAATAATACCCAAGTAACAATATGAAGTAACTAGTTCAACAGGGTTTTTCTGGTATGTAAAAGAACAATCTTTTGGCATACGGCCACCCTTGGAGAAAACAATAACTTTAGTTTTTCTAAGATTTACAGCCAGTCTCCATGTCTTACAGTAATTTTCAAGCTTGTCTAAGGAAGATTGTAACCCACGCCTAGACTCTGAAAAAATAACTAAGTCATCGGCGTACAATAAACATGGGGTACGCTCAGTATACATAATTGGTGGATCACATTCATTGTTAAAGACAGTTGTGAGATCAGAAATAAATAAGTTAAATAAGGTAGGGCTTAAATTACAACCCTATCGTACACCACAATGCGTTATATAAGATTCGGTGAGGCCATTACTATGTTTAATACAATTTCTAGTTTTAGAGTACATGTCATTAATAGTTTGGAGAAATTTCCCCCCTATACCAAGCTTTTCTAATTTGAATATGAGGCCATTTCTCCACACGGAATCGAATGCCTTACTAAAGTCTACAAAACATGCAAAAGGGCGGGAATTCTGGCTAATATATTTCCTAACTAGGGTGCTTACTATGAAAAGATTGTCTGCTGTTCGAAAGTTTTTTTCTGAAGCCTGCCTGATGTGGTTTGAATAATCTATTGTTTTATGCATAATTAACTAAACGAGTATTCAAGATGGATGAAAATAATTTGCCTAAACAGCTAATAATGGAAATACCGCGATAGTTGTCAGGAAGAGAAGGGTCCTCGGACTTATGAATAGGTACAATGTGACTAAGGGACCATTCTTCGGGAAAATATCCGTTGTGTAAACAAGTGTTAAATAATTGAAGTAGTGGAGTTTTCAATATCATTTTACCAGATTTCAGCATTTCATTTAAGATCATGTCATTTCCACTAGATTTGTTATTCTTGAGATTTGAAATAGCAGTGGTTAGTTCCTCCGCAGTTATCGGAGAATCAAGTGCAGAAGAGATTACAGGGGCTGGAGATAAATTTGGTGAATCGTCATCTGAGTTTAGTGGATGGTTTTCTGTAATAGGATGGTCTTTTGTATTGTTGAAGAGTTTGTCTACACTGCTGAAGTGTTTAAGCCACTCCTCATCTGAATTGTTGTTTTCTTCTGCTTTACGTGGTTTTAATTTGTTTACCAACTTCCAAAAGGCATCTGGATTTTTATCCTTTAAAGAAGACAATTGATTCATGATGTATTTATAAAAATCTCTTTTCTTCTTTTTTATGAGTTTACTGTATTCCTTTTTACGTTTAAAGAACCTGCCCCTTATATCAGGGTTTGATGGCTGTTTGACGAAAAGAGAAGCCAGGTTTTTCACCTCTCTTTTTAGTTCGGAGCAGCTTTTGTCATACCATTGTTTGTTTTGTCTTGTCTGGGCGCGTCTTTCGGAATTATTATTTGCTTTCTTGATTGACAATGATTTGGTACCAGCGTCTTTCAGTATTAGGCTAAATTCCGAGACAAAAGCTTCGATTCCTTCTTTAGAGCTTAAGCTGCTTCTAGCTCCAATTGACAGTGAGTTTAATCTATCAGTGAAATGGGATTGAGATAAAGTTTGAACAAATTTTTCCGCAGATGAATGATTCCAATGGAATCTCTTTGGGGATGGTTTGGATTTTGGTCTGTTGCGATTTTCATAACAATGTTGATGTATTGAATTTGATTTTGAATGAATAAAAACAGATAGCATGCAGTGGTCTGAAAAAAATGGTCAATGGATGAACTTGAAATAATCTAACATGTTGAAGTAAAGATTGGCTGGATAAGATATAATCTACTGTACTACTGCCGTTAGGCTGGTGGCAGGTGTAGTTACCCTGTAAGTCCCCCACTACTCTGCCGTTTAGAATTCTAAGGTCAGCCTGTATACAGAGGTCAGTTATAAGCCTGCCAAATTTGTTTGGAGGTGCCTTGTCAGAGTGTTGTCTGTCATTGAAAATGTTTGAAAAGTCAGGAGTACAGTCATCGGAGTCTACATAATCAAGTAAATTACCTAAACGTGAATTTAAATCTCCTCCGAGTAAGATAAATCCTTTTGAGCTGTACTTAGATATTTCATCTTCTAGTATTTCTAACACGTGGTTTTCAGAATTTTTGTGTGTTGAGGAAGTACTGGGACTTGAATAAACAGAGCATATAAATAAATCTTTTGAAAGTCCTAGTAATTTACGATCAATTTGTACCCATAGTACATCAGTAGATTTGGAAGGAACTCTTTTTATGTAGTGCTTGTATTCATTTTTGTAGAAGAATATAATTCCACCCGAAGACCATTTAGCTCTTTTGCTCTTATTTCGGAACAAATGAAAATGGCTGTAATTGTTGATGTAGATATTGGTTTTTTCTGTTGTCCAAGATTCTAGCAATGAGAAGAAGTCGAATTTATTAACTTCATTGTTAAGTCCGCACAAAAAAAAGTCGGCAAGGTCGGCTGGTGTCCGGTGAATTCGGCTACTAACTTACTGCTATAACCGAATGCTTACAGATGTATAAAATATGCCAGGGGTCGTTTGGGGAGATGACTGCCTGCCGTTCGGTGATAGGTCAGAAAAACGCTACACCCTTGTCTTATTTAAAGCTCCTTGGTCATATTATCCTAACGACAGTTCTCTGACCGAAACAAAGATCCCAGGGAATAGCGCATGATGCAAACTGGGGGTGATTGGCTTAAAATTTCAACTTCATACCTGAGTCGAATATCTCATAAGGAAGTCAAGAAAAGGTCTGCAAACTTTTCTCAGCCCAGTCTGCTTACTTTTTAACATCTATTTTAGGAGGGGATTTGGATGCTTTGTGATCAGTACATACGTCAGATGTCTCAAATAAGTTTAAATATCTTTTTTTCAGCCTCACCAAGTTTCTCTCCTTGCCTATGTTGACGCCTTTATTCTGACGTGTGGCGGATTGTTAAAAAACATAATACCTTTCGCACTGCGTCACGACTCGTGTGTCTGTCCATATAAGGGCAAAGGCAAGATCGTTTCTTCAGACTAATCGCGATATCATTTTTAATATTCATGCATCTATGACAGTTCCAGACTGCTCAAACGTTGTTTGTCAGTGCAGTGCAGAAATGTACGAGCAGGCACAGCCGGTCCGGTTCCCTGTCTCGGGGTCCGGTAACAATCAAACCAGCGGGCCACAGGCCCAGGCACCTACTGTCCATCAGAGTGGTCTACACAGGCGTGTCAGCCATGGCAACAGTGCTTCTGATAAGCGGAAAGAAGGGATAGAAATGTCTTCAGACACGTACGAGGAACCCGAGGCGGTGAATCTGTCGCCACCATTTCGAGAGGCGCGGCTGCAGCGGGCTAAGCTCCGGGGAGAACCGCCCGTGGAGGCGGCTGATGGCAGAAACACCAGGCGTCATGTGGACTTACCTGACGCAACGGACACGTCTACAGGTAGCCGAAGTTGAAACTTGTTTACGTCTTTAGAATACTGTTTAAGCCGTTTTTTTTTCAATTTGAATTTGACCCACTCTGCTTCTACAGCATTATTTCACGGTCTGAGGAAAATGTTCTAAGCACTTAATCTACACGTTGACAAGAGGAAGGAAGGGGGCGAAAAGCGTATGATTTTATAGCGATAATAATAGGTTCACGGTACTGAAGAAAAAGAGAAAACATAGAATAGTATCATGCGTAAATCAAGAATTACAGAATATTTTCTCATAGAGTATCGTCACCCAGTCTTTTTTTTACCTTTTTTTTTGGTGGCTGGGAATTCTCGTAGCAATTAAATGTGCAGGTACTCCACAAACATATATTTTTTCGTACTTACCACTTTATGTTGTTACGCCATTTTTTCAGACCGCACGTATCCTGGTGGCATAGACGGGCGCCGCCGTGTTGTCCGTGACTGGGTACCCTACTACTGGGGCTGCCTGGCCGGGGTGACCGCTGTGGTGGTAATATTGGTCATCGCGGGACTCGTCGTAAAGGTGCTCAACAATATACAGGTATTTGATTCAGTACAATGTTTAAAAATGCCTCTTATTTGCATACATAATACGAAAACCATGTAAAGCTGCTGCATTACGTGATATGACTATTAATAAAACCTGTTAGTTCGTGTATGTTCCCTTGTTGTTTCTTTGCAATACATTATACCAGTTACAGTTGTTAAGCAATAAAGTTGATTTGATTTGTATTCATTCTGTGTTCTTAGCAATTTGACACCCTCAGTCTGACCGGCTGTCATTTCTGTAATAAAATTAACGCGGGTCGGAATTTTTCACTCTTCTGGTTGAAAGGGGTGTCAGGCTTCTTATTGAGACTTGATTGATATTTTCTGCGCCCAATTTATCTAGGGGTAAATAAGGCCTATCATAAGAAATAATTTTTAAGTAAGGGGTCCTTTTTTCGTCACTCATATATTGGAAAAACGGATTTTCTTAGGGTAACGACGTACTAACGCAAGATGAAAAACCTAAAGTTTCCGAAATTGAAATAAATTTAAATAGATGCGATAGTTTTACCGCTATTTTCGACCCACAGCGCATATAGAACGCACCATCCCGGCAATCAGCCGAAAAGACAACAAAACCATCCGCGCAGACTAATACTAGAAATTCTTGGTTGGACCACCTAGAAAGCCACCAAATTAACGCCACCTAGAAAGGCTACAATTAACAGGCTTTTCAGAAAAAAACAAAGACTTGTACACAGATATTACGATATCAGGGATATTGCGACCAAAACGTACAAAATGAAGTCACGTTTCAGACGATTTACTGCAGACTTATTCAGATATAAACTCCGACCCAGAATCTTAAGAACAGAGCAAACAACAATGGATGTACTTAATACAAAATTTAACATCAATTTACATGATGAATGAGGAAAATGCCAAACATAACTTATGCAAATCCAGACTTTATTTGTATTTTGTTAATGAAGGAATGCCACAAAAGCCGGCTTTGTGAAAATGGGACTCTTTAATTCTAAATAAAAATTCAACTGACATAAATTCAACTGACATAAACCATGCATATAAGAATTTCATTTGCATAAGAAGAAATGGCTTATAATTCGTCAGCCATAAAGAGTAATACCTTAAGCAAATGCATTTTTCATTTTTTTATTATTTTGTTAATTTCATTATGGCTTCACCACTATGTGGTAAAGACATATTGTTTTTCCTCATGTTTCTCCTCCTCCTTCTCCTCCTTCCATTAAAATTGATTCAACTCCTTCATTTCAGTGCCAAATAACATGGAACCTGGCGAGAAGGTAGAGTAAGGGAAATACCCCCAGGCGTTTTCTTTTCATTTTTGTGATACAGGCTTTTATAATGGCTTTATTTGAGCTTTTTGGCTGTGTTATAGAAAATGTACTATAGCAGAGTGTTACCATATTTGGGAATGAGTCATCAAAATGGCATGAAGAGGAAGCAACCAATAGGCATGCAGCTTTCCTCTATTCTTATTGCTGAATGGCTGTTGGGATTTGATTGGGTTTACTCAATTAACACCTGTACAAAGCCATGTCATATTGACATTATGAACTGCATTCAAGTGTTTTGGTAGGTACGTCAAGTTTTCCTGCTCCAGCATTGGAATGCGGGGCATAAACGCTTCTTTTTATCGTAAAAATCAACAGTTTGCATCATACAATTAGAAATCCTAACCAATAATGCAGGGGATAGCTATCCAACTGTTGTCACTTCATACTATAGTTATAACTTATATTAATGTAAAAAAAGGTGTTTTCCCTCGGCCTTGCGTTTCTCCTTCTTTCCCTGCAATGTCGTTAAATGTGGTGAAGACATCCGCTACATGCAAATGTCGGCCTCACGTCCAGCTCACATTGTAACGTTCCACTGTCTGTCCTTGATGTTACTAATAATGTTTGGCACCTTTTAGGAAATTTCCCACATGTCCAGTACTGTTGACACTCTGAAACGCAACATAGACGACATATCGCAGCTGTCTGACACTGTTGGCACCTTGAAACGCAGCATGGAAAACCTGACAGGTACGATGCTTCCTTGCTACCTCCATGAAAAATGGAGGTATTGTTTTTGGTGCGTCCAATAGGGGCTGTACTACTCACCTCCATGGAGCTAGCTCCATGGAGCTAGCTCCATGGAGGTAAGTACTTCAGCCCTGAGGCAGATTTTTTCCAGCTCCATGGAGCTAGCTCTACGCACTATGAATGCATATGCCTGGTTTACGTCACGTTCAAGAAAAATGCATATACATGGTTCACGTCACTTCAAGAAAACAAACCAGCGCTATAAATGTCTTGAGAAATAAACAGCCACGTGCACAAAGAACACACATGGTTCACGTCACCTACAATGAAGAAATCATGCTCTAGAATATATCGTGTTTAAACTTGATACGGCCCCACGCACTGAGAACGATACATGTACACACAGTGCCGGTCTTGTCGAGGCTGTTTTGCTAGCTCCACGCACTTTGAATGCATATACATGTTTCACGTCACCTTCAAGATAAATACATAAACGTGCTTCGCGTTGCCTTCAAAAAATACCACGCTCCAGAAAATGGTACAGAAAATTGTTTGCATCGGTTTACTAGTATTGGTATTTATAAATCTTGGATGATCATGTTTGATACTAGTTATGTTACGGCAAGGCTGTCCTTGTGTATTGATTGACTATATACACTATCCCGAGTTGCTTTGCGCGCAGGGAGGGTAAGATAGCACGCACCCCCCATCCGGTGTCACTCTGGTGTCGCGGGTAGTATAAAGGGGGCCGAACCATTGCGCATCCCGGGGAATCGGTAGGGGAGGCGCATGTCAAGTTAAAAAAAAAAAGAAGACAGGGAACATCCCCGCGCAACGACCCAGTCATTTGCCTCTGTTTGGGCCTCTTGGCCTTTCGCGGCCCCAATACAACGCTCATATCTTAACCCGAGCAGAGAGCAAAGTCACGAGGGATTTGATACAATACTAAATTTCGTAACGCAAACCATGTGTTGGAATTCATACTGCGTGGAGTCACTATAACTTGTCTCGTGGTCTGCATGGCGTTTTCTGCATAGCGAAGTCAGCGAAGTCAGTGAGGTTTATTTGAGCTCTCCAGTTTAAAAGTTGTCGGGACCTCATCCTGACCACGATATCGATGTCACCTAATGACCTTTGTCAACGATTGGCACAGAGATGCGATTTTCTGCAATCTATCGTGGCTCAGCTTGCGAACAATGGTGGTGTTCATTTTTAAAACTGACATAAAGAAAACATGATATCGAAACGAAAAAGCCCTGTTGAGGCCATTGACATTGTAAAATATAGAATTTTCAGTATTCACGGTGTTGGTTTCCATTACGCCTTCTTTAGTTGACAAATAATGAACGGTCCCCGGGCCCACAAACAAAGGGGACAAGCGACACTAATTAATAACAGGCCGGCGCGAATAAGGATGGTCAGAACCATGTTTCACGTCACCTTCAAGATAAAAAACGTGCTTCGCGTTGCCTTCAATAAGAAATACCACGCTCCTGAAAATGGTTTAGTTCGGTTTATTGGTATTTGTAAACCTTTGATGATATTCTTTTGGTTTTGCGGCCCTTTGTACTGTGAATGACACATGTACGTACACACAGTGCCAGCTGCACAGCGCTGCCATTCCTAAAATGTTTTGAATGCGACGCGAACAATGTATTTACATTCATTCTGCTAGCTTCGTGGACCCGCCCAAACTTGATATAATCATCTTCTTGGTGTTTGGCAACGTGATCTAATTTTCAGTGTTTGTCTTTAGAGGGAATTCATTCAAGTGAAAAGGCGGGGTTTGAGCTCTGCTAAATCAAGGAGGTTTAATATCCCTTTGGCAAAGGAGGTTTAACTTCATTGTTTTGGCTAAATTCCGACCACGAAAGCATTTGTCAACCGCTTAGGGTCGATTGGCACTGCTTTCGTGTCTCAGCTTGCAGTGTTCGTTTCTTATATCTAGAAAATAAGAAAACAGGATATCGAAAAAAGGGGGGAATTTCCACTGTTCACAGCGTTATTCTGTATTCATTTTTGTTTCAGTACAAACGGACACATAAGTGTAAAACCTTTGTCTAGACGGACACAATTAGAGTTGTTTACGACCTTCCTGTCATAAAATAATCTGTTAAAACATCTCTTTTGTATCCTTTATTCACCGTATTTCACACGCACATGGTGACGCGGTTTCTGATATTGACAACGTGAAGAACACGATGCAGCTACAGGCCGGATGGGTATCGCAAAAGATCAAAGAACAATTTCCCAGAAAACACTTTTCCATTCCTACATAATGGTCTAGCATAACACAAAAAACACACTCTGCTGAAGTAAAACATGAAGTCTACATGTGAGCTGCCCACACAAGCATGCGGATGACATTTTTACATGCTTTACCTGTCCGATTACGGCGGTTCCGCAACAACAAAAATTTTGCAACATTTCACCAATGTGTGATGTGGGCCCCCCATTCCATTGCACTAGCGGGTAATGTTACAAGGTTTTATTTATTTTTTGTCCTTTACGTACTTGCAGTTATTTCTGCATTCATATGTAGCAATATAAGTCATATAATATTAATAAAACTGAACAAACGTGTACTTACAATTAGTGTGTTTGTATGAGAATGTTTGTGTCTATCATAAAGACCCCACCCCTGACGTGAACTAAGCATATGATTCCATAGTAAATATGGAGGCAGCTCTATGGAGTTACAAAGAAATCTGCCTCAGGGCTGCATTAATCGCCTCCTTGGAGCCAGCTCTACAGGGGTCAAATTTTTTTCCTTGAAGGTGACGTGAACCATGCATATGCATTCATAGTGCATGGAGCTAGCTCTATAGAGGTCAATTTTTCTAAGGTGGAGCTACCCAAAAAAACTGCCTCAGGGCAGTACTACTCACCTCCATGGAGCTGGCTCTATAGAGGTCAATTTCTTTTTTCTTGAAGGTGACGTGAACCACGTAAATGCATTCATATTGCATGAAGCCAGCTCCATGGAGCTAGCTCCATAGAGATCAATTTTTTAAGGTGACGTGAACCATGTATGTGCTTTCATAGTGCATGGAGCCAGCTCTATAGAGGCCAACTTTTCTTCCAGTTGACGTGAACCGTGTATATGCATTCATAGTGCGTGGAGCTAGCTCCATGGAGCTGGAAAAAAATCTGCCGCATGGCTGTACTACTCACCTCCATGGAGCTGGCTCTATAGAGGCCATGCCATTTTTTTCTTGAAGGTGACGTGAACCATGTATATGCATTCATAGCGCGTAAAGCTATATCCAAAGAGGCGATTAATACAGCCCCTATTGTTTTTTTCTTGAAGGTGACGTGAACCATGTATATGTATTTTTCTTGAAGGTGACGTGAACCACGTATATGTATTCATAGTGCGTAGAGCTAGCTCCATGGAGCTGGAAAAAAAATCTGCCGCAGGGCTGTAGTACTCACCTCCATGGAGCTAGCTCCATGGAGGTAAGTACTACAGCCCCTTCTCGGTGCGTCTGTGTGTGTATGTGTGTGTGTGTGTGTGTGTGTGTGTGTGTTTCCGCACATTTGTAGTCAGAATAACTTAATTACGCCTCTATGGATTGTGATGATATTTGATATGTCGGTATGCTACCAAAAACGCTTCGCTGGCCGTGCAACTTCACCACGCCGAAAAACACTACAATCCCAAGGTTTTTATCAGTTCATAACCTTATTGAAAATTTGCAACGATCGCCGAGCTATGGGGAGCCAAGCAGATCCAGCGATTTACTGCGCACTATTTGGAACCCTGGTCCGATTTAAACACCAAACCCAGAACCATAATTACAGTGTTTTATATAATGGTACTGCTATACATGTAATCTATTTAATCTGTGGCAGGCGGAACATCAACACATACTAATTGTGCAAATGACAACCTAATTTGCATAATTAAGGTGAAAATTCTGGTGCATGATGGAAATTTTATACCTTATGACATGTGTAAGCTACTTAAAGGTTAACATTACTATGCATATATTATGTTATTTGCATAATTAAGGAATAAATTTACATGTCAAGCCAATATTTCATGGAGGCATAAGATCTCGGAACTCTTGTTTTAGTTTTCTTGCTCTACTGCCATGCATTGAAGTTCATTCTTACCAAAACAAGAGTTAAAAAAAAAAAACTAGCAATGAATAGTGCACTATCAAAAAATGCTCATAGTCACCTTTAAGAAAAAAAAAAACAGAGCCATGGAGGAGCCCTGAGTGTTTTCAACTTCACTAAATACACAATCACATGGTTTTCGTCACTGACATGGTTCACGGCACTGACATTACAAAAAGTGCAATTAACTTAAGTTGCATTTTATCACTGTTACTTTTCTGTAACAGATAATGCAACTTACCTTCAAGCTAAAGAGTTTGACTTGTTCCAACACAAAAAGGGAACTCACCATAAATTTTCGGCTGATCCCGTCAACCTTCGTCAGAATTGTGATGCAGTCGCTGACTTTCCGGAAGTCGGAAACGTGAAGACGTCAGGAGTCCATCTGACGAAGGTTGACGGGATCAGCCGAAAATTTATGGTGAGTTCCCTTTTTGTGTTGGAACAAGTCAAACTCTTTAACTATGGATTCTACCAACACAGATGAGCTTTCATTCGGATTACCTTCAAGCTGCACTGAAGTAGGGGAAAGAAGTGGGTTTGACAACTCGAGATTCTACATCATCGACCTTGACGGAGCAGGACGCGGGGTCGCGCCAATGACTGTTCAGTGTGACCTGGAGGGACAAACAGGTTAGCAAAAATCAGTAAGATACCACAACAATATCATTCAGTTGATTTTGAGCCCTAGTGAGTTATGTGGAGGCGACAAGTTAACATAGAGACACACAACAAAAATACATAAACACATGATACTCAAGGAAAAAGCTAAAACAAGTAACCTGGTGGATATGTGGCTTCTATTCTAACTGAAATAGTGGAGTTAGTTAGAACTACAGTGATGAGCTGTAACGGTAAATGCAGTCCAATATTTAAACGATTTGTTACAATTTCAGCAATAACGCTCATTGGCCACAACAGTGAGGCACGGACACATGTGAATGGGTTTGAGAGTCCAGGCAGCTACTCCAAGGATGTGACATACTGGAATAGCATGGAGCAAGTGAGGGCGCTGGTGGACCAGTCAAGTCGCTGCAAACAGCACCTTAAGGTACGTAAGAATCGTTTAAAATTATATTCTAGACATGCGAGAGGTTCAGTAAGGCCAGAACAAGTAAATTTATGTAATACTATGGCACCGACTCGAATGCGATAGGTAGAAAAAATTAGTCGGTTAAAAAAAGAAGACTGCTACAATTTCAAATTTTGAGATCAGAAACCGTATAAAGCAATATAGTAATTCAGGCAACAAAAAATAATGTCATAACCAACCTCTTTTAGTTCTGTATCATCTGCTCTAAAAGTGCATTTATCCCAGTGACTTCATAACTTTGCCAAATTCTGCAAACATTTCAAACTGCCAAGTTATAAATGTTTCTGATCAGTTACGCAAATAAGATATTTATTTGCATTCATTTTGTAGGTCGATCATATTTTTCTTTC